AGCATAAAATTCTCTTTGAAATAATACAAATTGTCATGTACTGACATAATGGTAGACTGACGCCTGAGGCAAGTTGGACTTGTCTGACACAACCACGTTAACCAATCACAATTAAGGTGATCCATAACGATCACCTGACCTAAGTCCCGCTAACACGGCTCTGGTTGTGTCAAACACCTACTTCTAAACCCCTCAACAACAGACACACAGAGTGCTAGTCATACATACAAAGTTCATTCTGAAATTTGAACTCAATGTTAACACTGAATTGTGCAGAATCACTGTCACAGCTGAAGCTCACCTTCATCAGATATGAGAGACGGCCTTAACAGTTCTCAGTGAGTGAGTGAGTGAGTGAGTGAGTGAGTGAGTGAGTGAGTGAGTGAGTGAGTTAAATTTTAAGTCACATAGTCACGATATGGCTGAAATATTGCCTATCAAAGGTTAAAGATTATAAATACTTTGAAACGTATAAAAAACCTGCCAACGACGGGCAGTAAAATAACTAGACTTATCACAGAGAAATATTTAAAACTAGTTCTCAGACATTACACGACATCAGTGGTTGTTGTCTATGCTGACAGAAAATCACGAAAGCAATGCCATTTCTGATTGCTGTTATCTGCTGATACTTTTGATTTATAATAACATCTGATCATCCTTAACTTTAAAATCAATTTATTTTTAATGAAAAGTTAAAGTTTCAAAATAAAGTATGAAATTTTGAAATTAGGTTGATTGGTTTGATGTTTAACGTCGCACTCTGCAATATTCCAGCTACATGATGGCGGTCTGTAAATAATCGAGTCTGGACCAGACAATCCATTGATTAATATCATGAGCATCGATCAACGCATTTTGGGTCGATGACATGCATCAACCAAGTCAGCGAGTCTGACCACCCGATCCCGTTAGTCGCCTTTTACGACAAGCATAGTCACCTTTTACGGCAAAGCATGGGTTGCTGAAGACCTTGAAATTAGGCAATAATAAATATTGTTAGATTTCTTCATCCCCTCAAGCTTCACATCATGTTATTGTCCACAAGACCTACAGATGAAGACAAACGTGCTGTGATACACCATATACATGCTCCTACAAAGCCTTTATCCTTCAAATGTCATCCTTCCCTGTACACAGATTGTTCATAAACATTAACCCCCCCCAGCCCCCCCCCCCCCTTCTTGAGCTGGGGCGATTCCCAATTTACCACCCTGGTACCCAGGTACCTGACCCCCTATTACCAAACCCTACCCGGGTAGCCGTTGTAGGTCTCACATGCCTGCTCAATGGTACTACCTTTCCTGGACCCCTTGCAAAAAGTATTCAGATACATGTATAAAATCATCTGGTCATGCATACACTGAAGTTGACTGAAGCCTTATCTCAACTCATACATATAAATGACAGAAGGAATGGGTGCATAGTCGGAAAGAAAAGCCAACATTGGTGACTTGTAGTGTAACCATGGAGTTATGGCGAATTGTTGTCATTAATCACAATATCACGTGACCAACCATGTGTCCGGGTAATCCTGCCAGTACCTGGGTTTTACTCTGCACCCACCCAACCCGAGTACCTAAGACACTAGGGCTGTTACGATTCACTCGCGTATTCGGTGAATCGAACCGTATCCTTTCATGAATTGAATTCGTTATTCGTGGTCACTAGAATCGAATATTCATGAATATGCAGTCATGTGCATTTACATACCCTGACCCTTAAAATATCCATAAGAACATATTATATGCATAGATTTCTTCAGTGACAGTATTTTAGTCACTGGTCATTGTGGCATTCGAGCAGACACTAGTACCTGGATAAGTGAACTATATTAATGTATAATAAATTGATAATTAACAAACCATGTGAAATAATTTATTTTGTTATTGTTTCACTCAATATCATAAATAATACCTCAACTGCTGACTTGTTATTATTCGTGAATAAATATTCGTATTCGTTACCCTATATTCATTATACGAATCGTATTCGCCTTATAGTGTATTCGTTGCAACCCTATAAGACACCCATCTCAGCCCATCCCTCATCACAATAACAGTAAATGTGGATCAAAGTCTAATAATTAGTTTACAGTGTCCGTAACACATCAACAGCTTGTAACGATTTATTTAGTCTTTTGTGAAATCATGTTTCCTGAGATGCACCCTATACCCGACTAAGCGCCGGAACTCCACGCTCCCACTGTTCTACTATCACTGCATTGTTATACCATGGGCCATATGGATTTAGACACACTATAACCAACAACACACCTCGCTTGTCATTAACTCCATCGAATAAAGGAATCAATGAAGATGTGTAATGAACAAAGAATTCCCTCCCAACAGCGAATCTATTGCAAGGGGAAGTGGGGCTGAATGCAGGGTGCTCACACACAGTGTCAAACATGATCCAACAGCATCTAGGACAACACTACCGACATCTATGGACATGCTGGAGACTATCACTTTTGCATGGACATCAAAGGGAGGGATGATTTGAAACGTCTTTTTTCTCACAGAATGCAGTGGATATGAGGTTGATATAAACATGAAAGTAATACAAGTAACATTGATAGCATCTTGTCATAGATTGGCGTACACGCATCGTCCATGTAGCAAATGATACATGTCCTTCACCTGTCATATGATAAGCTTTTCCACATCTGTAGGCTTTACTTCTTCTTTTTTTAAATACAAAATCATAAACAAAAAACAGTCAATGAATTATATTTTGAATCTTTCAAATCTGATAGAAAAGGGGTTAATCCAAGAGTTTCAAATCTAGTGCCTCTGGTAGGTTTTACTCGTAAACTTGGGAAGAAGTAGTTCTTTTGATAAAATTCAGAGGTATTTTAACATTAAATTTAATGCAATTATTCTGACCAAAAATAAAGTTAGGAATCATGAATGTTTTGGGGTTTTGTTGGGAGTGAAAACTGAGCACGCAATTTCCTAAAAATATCATGCCCTCGAGCCTTTTTGTTCAGTATGTATATTAAATGTAAAATTTAGCATTCAAGGATCTTTCCTCTTAATTGCTTCTGTTATCAATGCAAAGCTAAAACAATACTTAGTAACATGATCACCTCGGTCAAGGGATATTAGATTCCAGTTTGAAATTCTGACTGACATTTGCTTTAGACCAGAGGCTAATTGGCCTCAGAGAACGCACAGATAAATACCTGGATCAAAGTGATGATGACGAGTTATTGGATTTTGACCTAAGAAATCCAATCCTACAAATGTACAGAAATGTTAAAATGAACATAACCAAGGAATAACTCTTGCGATTAATAACCCAGGAATAATGGATGCAATTAATAACCCAGGAATAATGGGTGTGATAAATAACCCAGGAATAACGGATGCAATTAATAACGCAGGAATAACGGATGTGATAATTAACCCAGGTATAACGGATGTGATAAATACCCCAGGAATAGCGGATGTGATAAATTACCCATGAATGACGGATGCAATTAATAACCCAGGAATAACGGATGTGATAAATAACCCAGGAAAAACGGATGTGATAATTAACCCAGGTATAATGGATGTGATAAATAACCCAGGAATAACGGATGTGATAAATAACCCAGGAATAAAGGATGCAATTAATAGCCCAGGAATAACGGATGCAATTAATAACCCATGAATAACGGATGTGATAATTAACCCAGGTATAACGGATGTGATAATTACCCCAGGAAAAACAGATGTGATAAATAACCCAGGAGTGACAGATGCAATTAATAACCCAGGAATAACGGATGCGATAAATAACCCAGGAATAACAGATGCGATAAATAACCCAGGAATAACAGATGTGATTAATAACCTAGGAATAACAGATGCCAATTTCAAACATGATCAATATTTCTGGAAACATAACATCATACAAATGAAATCTAAACCTCATACAAAGACACAAATAAAAAATCCCTCCCTTCAGGCATTAGAAGCATGAAGTAGGCTGGCAAACTTGATTAAATTAACTTATATATGCTCTCAACCAGAAGATGGGCGTAATTCCTAATATGGTCTACTCTTTCATTTATGGGCAAGCAGGGAATTTTCAGTGATTAATGATTCACAGGCCTGATACAATAGAGGTTATCTATTTCTGATTTGGTGCCCATAGTATCACTATCGAATTATGATAATGCCATCATGCAAGGTAATTGGTAGAGAGAGCTATGGTTACATTGATATTCTGAATACATACCTTTGGTTAAGCATTTACATGTATAAATAACTCAAATATTTTTATTGCAATTATTTGGATATCAAATTGATATTTATTAGTACTGTTAAAATGTTGCAAAGGAATTAAATCTTTGTTGTTTCCATTCCAGTGTATTTCAAATGTATTTTAGATGGCGGCCCTTATTCCAGCTCTTACCCATAACAAATTTTTATCAAAATATGTCTACCCAGTAACGGAACAGTGCGATATATGGATATATATTCATTGTCATTTACTCATAGCAATGTCTTGTCATTGCTTCAAAAACAGAGTACAGTTATAATGGCAATCAACATCTGTTTGCTGATGTTTTTTACTTTCTTAAAGACAATTTACGCAGTCTTAAAGAAACATTCCATAGTTTATGAAATGGGATGTTAATATGAGTTTAAATAAATATGGTGTATTGTTACTCCATACCAGAAGTAAAATAGCAACAGTTATACTTCCTCTTTAAGATGAGAGAGTGATATATTTGTTTTTCAAAGCTCACCGGAAAAATAGCTTTTCAGATTACAATGTGTTTTTCTTCTCAGAAAGTTGATATTTAATTTGTCACTTTGATGAAAATTTGAGAGAGTGAGAGAGCAAGAGAGGTCCCCCAGTTAAATAAGTCATCATTATTCTTATCTTGAACAGTTTACCTGTATTTTACCAAACCATTATCTTATTTAACCTTTTGCGTCGCCTATGCCAGGACAATTATAAACAAGCAGCCATGTATACATGTACCTGCACAACTGCCTGTAGTTAATGCATGAAGTCAGTAAGTCCCACAAGTCGGGGAGTGGCTGGTCGTAGATTACGACATGTTGTAGAGTGTAACAGTTGTAAAGGTGAGCCTATTTACATTACACCACAAAAAGACAAAGTTTTTTCCACGTCTTTGTGCTAAGTCATGGGGAACGAAATGACAATATCTTGCTACCAGGAAGAAGATTTTTACCCCATGCATCTGAATATCCGCCTTGTAGTAGGTCAAGTATGTATATGTAAACAGTCACTGCGGACTGATACAGTGAACAAAGTACGCAACAGCGTACACATACCCAACTTTAGTCCTGCACCATGACTGTGGAACATGTTTATGAAAAAAAATATATAATCTAGAAACACACACAAAAACAAGTCTAGCCAGCACTAGCGAGCTCTATTCCACACATGAAATCAGCATAGGGAATTTTTATTTTTATTTTTAGAGTCAAGAAGAATATTGTGTAATACAAGATTTCATAGACTAAATATTAGTCTATCCCAACTTCCAACACTGCATTATCATCTTGTCAATCAGGTTGGTTATGGAAATACTTGAACTTTCTTAAACATTGGATAGCTGAGTGACAAGACCTTGACAAGAAAACACTGCATCGTTAAACAACAAACAAAATCAGCTAAGTCATGTGTCATAGATTGTATTTGTTTGTGTTGTCCAGTTGTTTGTGATAAATAGCCATGCCCGAGGACGGGTTGAGATATGAAATTAATACAACTGTATGGATAACAAGATTCAGGAAGTCATTTCAAGAAAATGGTCTTACCTTTCCAAGGAAACATAACGGAAATGTCGTAAACTAGTTCTGTGAACTATCCTGTCTTATGCGGACGATAAGCCCCACAGGTAACTTACAACGTGTCTCTGCCCATATGTCTCAAAATCTGTAAGAATCAATATAAGGAAGTGTACACAGCCTAAGTCCCCGAACACAGTCTACCTGGTGAGCAAGCTTTCCTTCAGGTGAGCAGACATATTGTCTTAATCCAGTGAAATGTTATCCTGACTTGGACGGGTGTTGAGAAAACTGAGCTCTATCCCTGTACTCATAATCAGTGCCCTGACCTGGTCCCTGCTCTATCCTGGAGAGTGATATGACAATCAGTCCGGCACCCAGGACCATGTTTCAGCTGTTTCTCTACATGTTAAAAACAAGTCTCACTCAAGGATGGCAGTCCCTTACACATACATTGTCAACTAAGACACTGTGAAATTAATAATAAATCAAATAAAACTCAGAACTCACAAATTATCACTGGTGAAGAAGTCTCCCACTACATCGAATACAGTGTGACTGTTAGGTTAATCTTCTCGGGAGAGCTACCTTACCACTAGTTTGCATACAGCTCCTTAGTAGTGTTCACAGCCAAGTGTGATCGTGGCTTTGATCATACAACCGATGTATCTGTCAAGCATCTTATCACGGTTCAGTGAAGGTCAGTATTCAGTTATAAGACTGCCGATACCACAGTAGTCAAATGTGACACGACTATTGGTCACTGCTTAATGTGCACATCCTGGAAAGGTGTTCATTGTTAACAATGTTAATATGCTACAGTGATGAAATTTTAAGGCCATGGAAGTTCAGTTCAACTAGTTCTAGTCAATACATGTACCTTACAGCAGAGAGAGGGACCAGTTCTTTGTTCAAATCTCAAAGCGTTTGTCGCTACAACAGTCATTATACAGCCTATGAGAAAGTATAGCATTGAGACAGGTCATAGGACTACGAAAGTGACATTTGCTAAACAGATCCCTGGCCCTTTTTCACATCATGTTTGAGATATATAAGGGAGGGCTTGTTTAATCAACTTTATGGTATTTATACTTAATGGGGAGAAATCATCAGCTGTAGCTGACCTGACCTAACCTGGATTGTGTTAAAAAACTTTACTGTTATACCAAGCACTAACCTACAGAGGCTGCCTCTTTATAGACCGGGAGAGTGGGGTAGCCTAGAGGTTAAAGTGTTCGTTAGTCATACCGACGACCCGGGTTTGATTCCCCACATGGGTACAATGTGTGAGGCCCATTTGCTGGTGTCCGCCGCTGTGATATTGCTGGAATATTGCCAGAAGTGGCGTAAAACCAAACTCCTTCACTCTTAATAGACCAGCCGTTAATGGAGGAAATGGAGTGTACATATATTAATATTGTGAGCCCTCTTTCAATACCGTTGCCATGGAAATTGTCAGGTTATGTTGTACTGTTGGGTGACACAGTGACACAGTCTGGTGTCAGTGAGTGAGGTTTATCACCAGTCTGTAACATCTCAGTCAGCAGTAAGGAATCATATATTGGCATGTGACCATGAGTGGTCAAAAGTCCGCTCAAACATCCAAACTGTAGTTGTACCAATTATCAACAAGACTAGAACCGACCAACCAATCCACACCCCCGAACCTCTTTCACCGAACGGGGCGGACGGGTAGCCTAGTGGTTTAAGAGTTCCCTCGTCACGTCGAAGACCCGGGTTTGATTCCCGACATGGGTACAATGTGTGAAGCCCATTTCTGGTGTCCCCCGCCGTGATATTGCTGGAATATTGCCAAAAGTGGCCTAAAATCAAACTCACTCTCTCACTCACAGAACAGGGGTCTGACAGTTCAAGTCAATACAAAACAGCTGTAATCATTAGACATATACCTATATTCACACCCCATGTACTGATACATATTGTAATACTTGCTGCACAATGTTATATGTATTGCAATACTTAATATGCTCTGCTTTTGAGCCAGATTATCTACATTCCTTGGCCTGGCTAACAAGAGGACGTTGCCATAAACCTATTAGTGCTTAACTTTTGTTTGTATGTTGTTTAACGCCGCACCCAGCAATATTCCAGCTGTATGACGGCGGTCTGTAATAATCAAGTCTGGACTAGACAATCCAGTGATTGACATCATGAGCATCTATCCACACAATTGGGATACGATGACATGCATCTACCAAGTCAGCGAGCCTGACCACCCGATCCCGTTAGTTGTCTCTTACGACAAATAGTCACCTTTTACAGCATGCATGGGTTACTGAAGACCCCGGATCTTCACGGTCTTGTGCTTAACTAGAAAGAGTGCTTAATTTGGGATTGTGTTAATACCGGTGGTCTCATGTCATCAGATTTACCAGTTTACTTCATGACAGGCTGAAAGGTTAAATGCTAGCCAAAGTAGTTTCCTGCCAGGTCAATGCAAAATGTGGCGAACATTACTTTTATAGAGATAAAGCATGACTAGAAAATAGGTAGGCAAATCAGTTGTCATATCATCAGGTGTGACTTCAGTGCACTCATCCATCTGTTGATGATGGCACCCCTTATATGTATGGCATCATAATCATAATCATAATCATAATCATAAACAAAAGAGTAATTGCTGAGTGAAAAGGTCAGATTGACATAGACTTGAAAGCTTGCCGCACAACCCACTTAATAAATGACTGCAAAGTAGGATTTGATTGATAAAAGAATCTCTTTGAGGATGCCAACATTTTTACAACTAAGTTAGGATGGTTTGGGTTGGGGGGTTGGGGGGTTGGGGGGCAAGGGTATGTCTAATAATTTATGGACTACTCCAGACAGGCTTTCTTCAAGGACTTACAAAACGATATTTTGTTTGTTTGTTGCTTAACGCCACACTCAATATCCCAGCTATATGACAGCAGTCTGTAAATTAGTCAAGTCTGGACAGGCAGTCCTGTGATTGACATCATGAGCATCGATCTACGCAATTGGGATACGATGGTTATTATCAACCAAGTCAGCGAGCCTGACCAGGCGATCCTGTTAGTCGCCCCGTACAAACAGGTAAGACCCGTGGAAGAGAAAACAATGAGAAAAGGTACAGACAGGGTTTTGTCCTGACCTTCAAAAATAGGGGTCAAGGGGACCCCAATAATTCATTTTCAGGTCCTTGCAGACATTATGAGGGTCCTGTAAAGTAATGAATGGTGTTGTGTACTGTATTTGATCATCACAGTTTAATTACAAGGCCCTTATATATATTCTTGACCCTTTGTCAAGAATTTGGTATTATTGTTCATCACTTAAGATGCAGTATATTTTGTTTTCTGTGTCCATCCTAAATATTTGGAACTCCGATACTTTAAAATAAGCTTACGACAGTCGTAGATCTATGATCGCTTTGTGGAACGGGGCCCTGGGCGCTTAGTAATTGACCATTTTTTTATATTAAAACCGTAAGTTGAATTTGTTTTCGCAGATCGGGCATTTGTTAATAAGATTAAAAATGTCCATGAAACTACAAAAATATTGATAATAGCTTCAAGACAATTATATACCTATTCTATGCTGCCGTCTTCTGTGAAACAGAATATGTTATTAATATACGCCAAGTAAATACGGACTGACATTTTCGGGCATAGTAGTGGGCACTGTAGAAGGTACAGATGGGTCCACAAGTTGGTCAGGAGGTGCTTATTGGAGCAGGGTGCTTTAAACAGCAAATAAGGTATAACAAACCCAGCTCATGATGAATATGAAATGCCCAAGAAGAAGAATCGGTCAGGTAATCATCTTCTATTTCTGATCTAGTCCTGTATTCATCATGTAGGACTAAGACATATAGAGTTACCTGTTAGTCAGAATGCCCAGCATGTGTAGTGTATTTGTTGACACATGCAATATATCAAGTCCAATTATTTCCAAAACAAGTGGATTTGAATTACAATCTCATTATCTACTAGTCATTAATCAAGTCACAGTTTTCCATAAGTTTGTCCTTAACACAAACATTGGACTTCTCCTATTAAGATCTGTCAGTCATGGAGCTTATAAAGTTTTCAAACTTGTAATATTACTGCTATTGAGACCTTGAAACTAACCTTAGTTAGTGAAAAACAGAAAATGTATATATATATCATAACCGCCATACTTTTACTCGTTAAAAGTAATATTTGTTTAACGATTACATGTCAACATATTGTTTCTGCGATGGAAATAGTGAGATAGCGCGAAACGGTGATTTGTCAAATTGTTCCATGCGAAAAAAGTATCCGATAATACACAAAAGTGCTACCGCATAATCCAGGGTATGGTTGTCATTATACTGAAGATATATAGTAAAACCTGCAATTAAAATTACACGATATCAGAATATATTATTTGTAGTAAAATAGTAACTGATTGTTTCATCAAAATTCTATTCCATTATATACTACTCCAAAGAAGTTAAGGATCACCTGATTCTTTCATATTACTATAGTTAATCTATCATGTCATGACAGATTAACTTTACCATTATGAAAGAATCGGGTGATCCTTAACTTCTTTTGAGTAGTATATTACTGGGTATGTTTTAACGTTATCATCGGTAGATTGGGAGAACACATGTGTACAGCTGATTGCTATTTCCGGCTTAGTTGACAAGACAATACACACGGTAATCTTTATCCTTGCATAAAAACAATGCCTAGCATACCGGTAACAAGAAATACAATCCAAATGGTAAATCTTCATGTCTAGTGATATATAATGGCAAATTTCATATTTTCATTGACAAAGTTTGTTATAGCATTGTTCATTCACCTGAGGGGCTGTCGGGTAGCCTAGTGGTTAAAGCGTTCGCTCGTCACGCCGAAGACCTGGGTTCGATTCCCGACATGGGTACAATGTGTGAAGCCCATTTCTGGTGTCCCGTGCCGTGATATTGCTGGAATATTGCTAAAAGCGGCGTAAAACCATACTCACTCACTCATTCACCTGAAGCGATACGATGTAGTTTTCTTAACCCACAGAAAAATAGTTTGATGAAAGTGTAACCCCTACATAAGCCGACCCCTTTCTGCAGAATCTTTTCTGGTCCTCAAAATTTGGCTTATCTACGATCATATAAGTAAGTGATAGAGTATGCATCAATATATCGCATCAATAACCCATGACCATTAGTTCAGTACAAGCTCAAGAAGAGGTTTGGGGCTAAAACCTTAGAGCAATCTCTGGTATTGGTGACTAGTTCATCAGACTGATTGTTATTAGGTTGGGTAGCTCCTTATATACTATTTTGTGTTGCAGGCGTTCCTGGTGATTTACCGGTGGTGTTCACCGGTGGGGTGGTGATCGAGTTGACCGGTGGATCGGTGGTTAGTGTTTCCAGAACCTGGTCGCCAAAGCGGTGGAACTACCTGACAAACTAGTCAGGCCTCAGAAATCCTACAGAAATCTCACGAGCAACATTGCCCGTAGTAGCATGCAATTAGAATTAGAATTCATGGTTGAATGTAAAGAGAAAAAGCCTTATCCCCCGCACCGATCTATTAAACTAAAATGGATTTTTGATCTCAAAACTATCCACCCACAATTCATGAGCGACAAGATCTGCTCCTGGAGTTCCCCCACCCCATCCTTGTCAGTACAAGTTTAGTTATCATGTAAACGTAAGAAACACTTCATTATTTGTGTGTGTATGGCACAAGCAACAAAAAGGTAAAAAGCTGAGCTTTTACAAGAATTAAATGCCATTTTCTGATAAAAAATATCCATAAACAAAAAATATCACAAGCAAGGCTTGTAGAATTCAGAACATAAACATTACACATTTTACATGTACTGAACAAAAATATTTGGGAGGATGAATATTTTGGGGAATACTTGGAGTGAATACTGAGCACACAATTTCATAAAAATATCCCCACAAGTATTGATGATCCTTTACTTCTTTTGTTAAGTATATAAGTAATAATCGCTGACAATGATTAGTTTGTAACTTGTTTGCAATTATGCTTGTTTACCTAACACTGAAATAAAGTCATTCACAATTTAGGTGTTCCTAACTTAAACAGACATTGGCTAGTTGTTTGACAGCCTCACTGCACTCACAGGCTCTCAGTCAGCTGGGTCATGTAAGCTTGACTTTAATTCTCCAGGCAATCAAAACACTTGAACACTAACTGTTACAGGTAATATTTGAATAGGAACATTCATTCCAGTGTGCATTACTTAATACGGACCCCAGCAGGACAAAAATGGATAATTTATGAATAATTCATGAATTTTATCATAAATGTTCATAAAATTGTTCATGAACTTTATGGATATGCATGAAGTATGGATATATATGGGTTCTGTTTGAACACTAACTGTTACAAGTAATATTTGAATAGGAACATTCATTCCAGTGTGCATTACTTAATACGGACCCCAGCAGGACAAAAATGGATAATTTATTAATAATTCATGAATTTTATCATAAATGTTCATAAAATTGTTCATGAACTTTATAGATATGCATGAAGTATGGATATTTATGGGTTCTGTTTGGAAGTAAAGCTGAACATTCCAAAATTACATTGATTCAACACTTATGAGGAAAACAGTACTCCGATGTCCGCGCTTTTGTCTTCAGTGTATAGCGTTGTCTGCTTGAAGACACAGAAAACACATCGACCTTTAGGAGAAGTTGTCAAGTTAGAGTAGCATCCCTTGAATAAAAAGTCCAAAATGTTGATGAACTTTCATGAAGTCTGGATTTATTATTAGATTCATGACAGTTCACAAAACATTTCCTTTATGAATACATGTACTGATGAACTGTCATGAATTCTGATTGATTCATAAAGATTCATAAAATATCTTAAATCAATCTCATTATGCATATTGATGAACTTTCAAGAATTCATGAATGATGTTTTGATGAAATTTCATACATCTGCAATTATTAATAAAAGTTCATGAAAAATCATGAATCAGTCTGTATGAATCCAGAATTCAGGATTTATTCATAAATTCATGAATGAGTTTTTACTGAATTTTCAAGAATGTAGATTTATTCATGAACATTAATGAAAATTTATGAATCAGTCTCCATGAAAATGATGAACTTTCATGAATTCTAGATTTATTCATAAACATTTGTGAAAATTCATGAATGCTTTTTAATGAACAATCATAAAATTCCTGAATTCTTAATTTATTCATAAAAGTTCATGAAACAAATTCTTGATACAGGAGTGATGAATTTCAAGAAGAATTATTCAGGAACTTGCTTCATGAATTATTTTCCTGATATTAATAAACATTTATGAATTCATGCATAAAGTCTTGCAGGGGGACAATTGAATTTCACAATATCATAACACGACAAAAACAATTCCAAGAGACCAATAACAAAAAGAATTCTCAATTGTAAGACTGTCAGATCTCTCAACTACGCTTTGTAATTAAGGTTTGAAATGACAGCTACTGCCCACAATAACAAGGCCTATCTACAGCAGTAACACCTCCCTGTGTCTCAGTACATGAAGCATGTGATACACAAGCTCCTGTATCAATAAGAAAAAACACCAACACCAGCCTTCCAAGTGTACATACTCACGGTTCTTGCTAAGATTGTGGTGTTAGCATCTCTGTAACAGGGCTATGCACTTTCCGAGGTCTCTACTTCCAGACCCCGTGTCATAACTGTCAAACACACATCTACATTTGCATGAAATATTTGAGGAGCACCTGGACCGGATAAATATTTTTTGTCAATCAGTCCTGGGGGTAAAGGAGGGAGTGGGCAGAGGGAGACCCATGATGAATATGGACTATAAACCTTGCCAAGGTAAATAGAAATAGCCATCGTACAAATTTACGCAAGATTACTCCTTTTTTCCCTATCCCAGACCGGGGACCTGGGGTCAGACGGGTTAGTTAACAAAAACTAGGCAAGGCTGACACATGCCCTTGGGGCAGTCCCTTTAACACCTGTGAATTCCTGTTAGGAAGAACTTGGCTTCACATGCATGTATTAAAGATTTACAAAACAATAACATTATCTTTCAACCGATATAAAGGTCTTTGATGTTGACAGAAATCTGCAAATCTGCATTTTTTCAAACCCATATTATCCTTGTTTCAGAAGGTGGCATTAAGCTATAATCTTGTTTCCTTAAGGTAATTAGTTGCTTCAGTAAATATGAAAATGACATTACCTACCCATGTCAAACAAGATGATACCCACTGTTGCTAAAATGTAAATCTGCCGATAAACTGTTTTAAGTATCTTGCATGAAATAAAATTTTTTATAAAGTAGTAAAACCTAAACAACCAGAGACTCTGACATATACATACTAGTGGTGGGATGGTACACTGATCCATCGGTGGATCGCAGTTTTTTCTTCTCGATGCAAGTATCGATCACAGTCGCACACAAAGTAAAAAATAGCGATTCTGCAGGGTTAGAAACTAACAGTTTTCGGCCACTAGTCCTTATAATGATAACATAAAGCAAAACCCTTAAAAAGGGCAAATTTCTACTAGTCCTCATGATACCTTTACCATTGGGCAGTTTGGCAAGGACTATAGGACTAGTACCAATTTCTAACGCTGTTCTGAACTTAAATGTTTGCTATCATAACTGTTCCACTAAACACTAACAGACAGCCAAATACTTTGCGACTTATATCAAGGCAAACATTACCATAACGCCACAATTTGTAATACCTTTGTTCTACTTTTCACAAATCTGTGTATCAATGTCCTTAAAAATGCCTTTGCCAACAATATATTTTTTGCCTCACATTCTGCACACAAAGTTAATCGTTCAATTACAGTTGAAAGCAAATGCTGATATTGACAGAAACTGAACTCCCACAATGCACTGGTACACCATTCAGTGAGGCCTCATGGACAAGGTAACGACAGTCAGTCCTCCTGAAGAGGAAGATCTAACACATCCTACCACAGAAATGTATGTCTTTTCTCTCCATTAGCTGCAGCCTCTGAACCACAAGCTATCTGTAACACGGCAATTGCGCATGTAAGTTTAAGCCAAGTAACATTAATCCCCGCCATAATATGCACAGAGTTTCCCCTTCCATTCAACACATTGTTTGTCTGAAGGTGGGGCAAGTTTGCGTGCAAGGCCAACAAAATGATAGCCTCGTCACATAACGAAATCCCTCGTTAACAACATGCAAAAGCGACAATTATGTTCATAGCATGATCAATTTCCTGTTTGTGTATTGATTCCACATGAAGAATTAAAGAAAGTTAATACAGATTAATTGCAGTCGGTATCGGATTGTAGCTTTTTATTTTCCTGTTTGACTGCAACAGGAAATTGCCAGCCATATTGTATTTGGGCAGCAACGGAAAACAAAACATGTAAACTAAGAATATGAATATTTGTGCACTCTTAAACACAAGTATCTGAATGCGAGTCTGAAGTTTGTCAAGCCATGCTAATCCATTGCCAGGCATATTGTGTACCAGGGATTTATCTTGACCTGCCTACCGGCTGATATTTGGGCCCAAGTCTGCAGCAAATGATAAAATAAATTCCCTGTTTGAATTAAATTTCCCAATTCTTCAGAATTTATGAAAAAAAACAACAGAACATACAAAAAAAATCAAAATCGAAACAATGTCACAAAAGTTTTCCAATTTGTCTGGCAAGGACACTTAGTTTAGAATTTTAGATAAATCCCTTCATCAACGCTTCTAAACATCTTATATCCATTGATCCTGTGAATGAGGATTAGCAACTATGGGTAAGAAATATACCTTCATATTATCTAGTCTGTGATTTCTATCAGATAAGATAAAACAATAGTTAGATGTGCATATTCTATTATTTCTTTTCCTCTTCAGAAGATTTACTCATCCCATTCTTGAAGATCTGAATTTACTGCAAATCTTTAACTTACATTGCCCCAAACCTAGGAACCTATGCTGCAGCATTAGTAATTGGCACTATAGTCCTATTGTCCTGTAGTCCTTGCCAAACAGCCCAATAGTTAAGTTATCATAAGGACTAGTGGACATTTGTCCTTTTTAAGGGCTTTGCTACATGTCACCATTATAAGGATGAGTGGGCTAACACTGTTAGTTTCGATTGCTGTGCCGGTCATGAGGCAACTAAATTGATTAGGGGACCAGGCTCTATGATTCGGTTGATAGCGTGTCATCTCATCGTGCCCTGATGGCATGGATTGTTGCTCATAACATCAATCACTGGATTGTCTGGTCCAGAGTCGATTGTTTACTTGACTGTGGCATTAAACAACAAATAAAGAAAGAATATAACAAATATATAAACAAACAATAATATTTCCTTCAATTCATATGAGTCTAAATATGAGTACCATATGTTCCTGTGCTTTTTCAGGTGAACAATTGACCTGCCCTTGCATGTGTTTGAGATGGCTGCCACCGGTGGGGAACCTTTTCGCAAACACCTGGTATCATCAATGTTTGATGGCGGTTCATAAACATGTGCTTATGATATAGTCAGAATCGAACAATCAACTCTCAGTTTTGTCGCCCTAATAATCAATTACCGTATTCGACGTAATAAGCGCCCCCCGGCGATATTTGCTAATATATTGGCTAGTGAACAAGCCCAATTTGCATCCCTTCCGATTGATCAATGTACACAAGACTTATTTGTTCGGTATAATACGCACACGTGTGTTATATGCACCCTTATTTATGGGCAATTAAATTCTGGCAAAATATATCCGTTGTACATAAACATTTCAGGCTGTCAGCATAAACAACAAAATTTATCTTTCAACTATGTTTTTTTCACCAAAATAATATTCTAATAAGAGCCCCCTGTTTCTAATTTTGAGAGCGCCCCGAGCGCTTATTACGTCGAATACGGTATATGTGTTGTTGTGGCCATTTTCACCACACAACAGTGATGCCATTGACCCGTTTCCTAAAGGTTCTATCGAAAGTAATAATACTTCAGAGCGCAGTTTCCAATACATTATGAAAACTCCGTAACCACATACATGATCGCACTAAAACTCTTTGAACATAAAATAACATGAAAATGCCATAAAAACTGGACTCCAAGAAGCCTTAAGTATAGATCAGGCATGTGATTCTATCCCACGTTGTGAGTATGTACAGTTCCACCCACACCATATTGACACACAATCTCCGCGTCACAGAATCCAGGCCATCTATATTGATGGAGGTTAACATCCCTGTTTCTTATGACGCAAATGCCACTGAAGTGTGTAATAATAGTGACAGTAAATAAGCTCTGTCTATTGATAGGTAGACAGTATATTCTTGTGTAAACAAAGCTATTAAACCCGCTCTCTTTAATAAAGATGTTTCATTCAATCAATTCCTCCCCAAGTTGCAGCTGAAGCTGTATTTGGACTATAATGTAATCATCCGGGAAAACAAGAAAAATATTAAATCATCTCGGATAGTACAAATGAAATCGATAAAAGGCGACTATGCTTGTTGTAAGAGGCGACTAACGGGATCGGGTGGACAGGGTCGCTGACTTGGTTGATGCATGTCATCGTATCCCAAATGCGTGGATCAATGCTCATGATGTCAATCACTGGATTGTCTGGTCCAGACTCGATTATTTACAGACCGCCGTCATATATCTGGAATATTGCTGAGTGTGGCGTTAAACAACAAACAAACAAACAAAACAAACAAATGAAATCAACAGCCAGATTTTGCAAACTAAACAGACATGTAATTCTTTATGCTTTGTTGACATTTACTTTGAAACAAGTTCAATAACAGAGGGACTATGACTGAATCTATTTGACTCAAAGACTAACAAGATAATGTTAAAAATTGTGTGAGCAAAGTTGTCATTTGGAACTAAAATGACATAACCAAGGGGAGGGGGGTGAGGGGGGTGTTTGTGGTTATGAGATGCCTGGGTGGCAGGGTCATCTAAGGCTGTGCAATCCACTGTGCAGAATTCCGTCCCTTAGGAATCATCGACAACTATGACAGTGGGTTTGAATGTTTGAATTCCAGGTTCGCCGTGATAAGGTCTCTAGGTTTGTTGGCACAATGCTCGTGCGCTTTCTCAAAGTGGTAAAATGTCTTAAATCTTTATCGCTTTGGGGTTCCTACACAGATCAACCTGACACCCATTGATGTAACTGAAATACTGTTCAAAGCAGCATTAAATCCAACTCATTCACTCGCTGTGGTTTCAACTGCCTGACTAGGGTTACAACTGCCTATTAATACACATTACATATTCTTTTATCTTCTTTTTCAGTTGAATTTCTTGAAACGCATTAAAAAATATGTTGTCGCCACGCAGAACAGATTTTGTATTCATGAGCTACAGAACTCATCTTTCATCTTCAAGCACACAATGAATATGCGATAGGCTGCTAATATAGTGGAACCATTTTCATTGTCTTAAAATACAACTCTCTAGCCAGCCAGCCAGCCTCCAGTCCTATGATAAGAAACATGGGATGTGACAGAACAGTTTCTTGCCTGCTGTCCCCATACTTGTCTCAAACTGAAGGCAAAAACACTGTTTAGTCCAAAGCTGAGTCGGGTTTGCTCATTGAACAGGTTATTTCCAGACTTTTAATCAATTATAGCCTTCCTTTTGGTCCCCTTGTGGCATGTTAGTTCAAAATCTTTGATGTATATACAAAGGACTCTTCAGGTGTATTTTAAGCTTATTTTCTAAATATATCAAACCATTGTCAAGACGGCTAGCATATCATATTTTCGCCTCAATCTGTCCTTCATTAAAACTGAAATAGAGCAGTCACTTTCCTTCTCCTAGGAAGGATGTACCTCTACTGATTGTCAGCATTCTGCTCAGTGTAACCACAAAATGCTCTTATTATTTAAACCAAGAGGCGAACTTGAAAACAGAATTACCGTATTCGACGTAATAAGCGCCCAGGGCGCTCTCAAAATTAGAAATAGGGGGCTCTTATTAGAATACTATTTTGAGTTGAAAGATCGTAAATTTCGTGGTTTATGCTGACAACCTGAAATGTTTATATACGACAAAAATATTTTTCCAGGTTTAATTGCCAATAATTAAGGGCAAATATAACATACGAGTGCGTATTATCCGTGAATAAATAAGTCTTGTGTACAGTTGGAAGGGGTGCTAATTGAGATTGTTCACTAGCCAATAGATTAGCAAATATCGCCGTGGGCGCTTATTAGAGCAGGGCGCTTATTACGTCGAATACGGTATTTGACTTTCTGGGAATGTGATAAGAGAGAAAAATGTTAATTTGTGAGGTTTTAAGGCAACAATGTTTCCATGGAAACAACAGAATCCACCCACCCCTGATTCATGCTCCTTACTGAGATCTGGTGTCAGATAAGAGGCTGATAGTTCTGTGAGGTCTGTTAATATAATGCCGCGGTAGAAATTGGCACTAGTCCTATAGTCATTGTCAAACTGACCAATAGTTAAGGTGTCATAAGGACTAGCAGAAATTTGTTGCTATTAAGGGTTTTGCTATATGTCATCATTATAAGGACTAGTGGACTAAAACCGCTTCTATTTGTGTGATGTCTGATCAGACAACCACCAGGTGAATATACTCTTTCCGAGTCAAAACAGGATCCCATTTCATTAACCACAGTGATATTCAATCATAAATAATTAAATTTTCATTGTGTTCATTGTAATTCCTTAATTCTCATTAGCTCAAATGGTCACGTGTTATTGCGTTCATTTCCCAATGAATGTAAAAAATTAAGCCACGCCCTCCGAACTACTATCATCACTACGGATTGGCAGGAACTCCCATAGTACAGTTGAGGGAATTCCCTTTCTGCTCACCTGTATTATCATGCACAGGACTTCTTAGCAAAACTCATGCATATTCATCTTCCAAACTGTAGCCCTTCAAGGTTGCAGGCACGAAACAGCAAACGTGCAAGTCTGCCTGCTTGGTTTTTGTTGCTCGCCTCGGTTCCAAAAATGTCATGTCTTTGGGTTTCATTTCCAACTGTGTCTTCTCGTTCTTAGGAAACTAATGTTTGAATCTGACAGTAACTGACCAAGTCTTTTGAAACAGCCTCCTTCTCCCCAACATATTTGTTCCGGTTCGTTACAGTCTGAATGTTACAGTTTTTCTCGCCTCTGGCCTTGACGGACAGGTCCTAGGAGCTTTGTTTTGATTCATGTCACACCACAGTATATATTCCTACGCCTGAAATGTTTATCAATCTCATCACTTTTGTCTGCTTTGATTTATATAAACTGTTTTTGATTAATCTACTGGAGATAAACAAGAGTCATCAGAAGATGACATATCCCACCGGTCATCATTGTTTGATAGAAGCCAAATGGGCCAACCAAGCATCGAACACAAAACCTTAGGACATTGACAAATGGCAGGAATTCAAATTTTAGTATTCTTTGAAAAAATGACAAAATGACCTGTTGAGCAAATACCCCATAGTTATAAATGCATCCAACGAATCCCGAGCGACATTTCTCCCGCTGTTTACTGTTTTACACAAAGTGTGTATGTTCACTAAAGGGTTCACTGAACCAAGAAAGATCAGACATTCTCAACATCACAAGATCCTAATCACAATTTTCCTAACAAAGTTGACAACGGCAGAAAAAGCGGGCTGTATATAATTGCATCCGAACGAAACAGACTCTAAGTATGAAACTCCTTGATATCAAAGGATGGAAATTAGGATGATCAATGAAAGTCAACATAGATTCACGGCATTGTTGTGTCACAGATACAGCGTACAGCGGTAGTCTTACTTCTGTGATCAAAATACCACAGCTCTAATTGGTCAAAACTCCCACAGGGACAAGAAGATTAACGAGAGACAGAAAAAGCACCTGTATGATCAGAGAATCTAGACCAGGGTGCCGTTGTACAAAACAACTTTAGCGCTACGACTGTCGCAAGTCTATGTTAAGGTTTGGGAGTAACGATCACCTTAGCGCTAAGATTGCTTTGTACAACGGCACCCAGCTCAGAAGCCAATATTTAGCCCCAAGTCTGCAGCAAATGATGGTAAATATTGCCAATTTCAATTAAAAATGTCCCAATTCCTCAGAATGTATGAAAATAAGATCATTAAAATAATTACATTTTGAACAATATCCCGAGTTTGCCTCACTGTGAATGCCAAGGGAACTTTGTTTGGAATCCTCTATAAATCCCTGATAATACAGAAGTACATAAAAGTCCATGGGAAGAATGATGTGTATCTCAAGACACGCATGTATTGTTAGGCATGCAGCTAGTCTGATGACTGATTATACATTCCAGCAGGGGACCAGTCATTTATTATATTGGGAGTCAGTCTTAGGGAATCAGGGGAGGTTCATACAAAAATATGACAGTCGCTAGTTACAAAACATAATACACATATTTGGGGAGGGTCATGAAAAATATTGGACATTTTCTTATAAAATATAGAATGCTTTTGACAAGAGGAGAAACATATAGCAATATACCAATACATGCTTGTCATAAGAGGCGACTAACGGGATTGGGTGGTCAGGTTTGCTGACTTGGTTGATGCATGTCATTGTGTCGATGCTCATGATGTCAATCACTGGATTGTCAATCCTTAGACTTGATTATTTACAGACCGCCGTCATATGG